TACAAGGGACTAGAATTGGAACAAGTGAAGAGTTACAAATATTTAGGCATTGATTTTTCTCAGAATTATAGTTGGGCACTTTGTGTACAAAAGAGAGTAGAAGCTGGTTACAAAGCTCTATATTCATTGTTAAATCGATGTAGAAGAGCCCATCTAGTATCTTGGAGTCTTAGGAAATTTTTATTTAGGAGTTTAGTGTTGCCGGTGGTTCTATATGGGACACAAGTGTGGGGTCCTGGCAGTAAGAAGACAAGTTGGGAGCGTGTGGAGAGGGTGCAAAAGATCTTCTTACAAGAAGAGTTAGGTGTAAGGAACCAAACTCCTTATGCTATTCTTCTTGCGGAAACCGGTTGTCTACCTCTTGAGGCTGAAGCTCTCTACTTGACCATCACTTATATTAGAAGGGTGAGATCTCTTGATGCTTCTCGACTTCCTCTTCATGCTTTGCGTGCCACACGTTCCAAGGGATGGTTTGCAGATGTGATGACTTGGTCTTTGAGGTGGAATGTGACGGATTTGGATTGGGATCTGCAACCTATGGCCCTTCGCGAGCGTATTAAGGAGGAGTTTCTCAACATCATTTGGAGGAGAGGAGGCACTAAAATGCAGTTTTATCAACTTCATGTGAATCCTATGCTTATTTATTGTGAGCAAGGGTACCTTGTTGCAGAGATTGCTACATCTTTACGTCATATTATTGCTAGGCATAGAACAGGATCTCATAGGCTTGGAATTGAGGAAGGACGTTGGTTGAATATTGATAGGAGTGAACGGATTTGTAGGCTATGTGATGGGAGAAATGTTGAGGATGAAGAGCATGTGTTTATTACTTGTACTAGATATATAGAGATTCGAGTGGCGCATAAAGTTGATGTCGAGAATTTCTTTTCTCTGCTTCAACTCGAGCCTTATGATTTAGGTTGTTACATTAGAGATATTATTAGTTACCGTTCTAGTGCTTTGGGCACTAGCTAGGGGGTTCTTTTGGTTCTCTCCTAGTTTGGAGTTGGATTGTTTGTATTGTGTTTTTTAGCCTTTTGACCCTTTGGGTCCCACGGGCTTGATCTATTTACCATTTACCATTACCATTTTGTCAACCCCTGCATTGCCCTCCGGTGTAACGATATGGGAGCTGGGTACAGAGATCTTCGCACACAAGGATTCTAGGTCCTCTCCCAGATGAGTCCAGATTGGGATTCACAGTGCAATATCTCCATTCAACTCGCTTATAGATACGAGTGGACACTAGAAAGATTCCGTGAGATACAGTAAAAGTTCCAGTGATTTACGTACTGCTCGCATCTTATCCTACGACGATCCCGACAGGATTTCACGACGTTTTTTCTTATCGTCCAAGCACAGCTGCGAGAATATAATTCCCTCTATCCAAACGTTTACCACCTTTATCACTCGATGAATTCAATTTACCTTCACTGGCTCTTACCATATGGACATGCAATCGAAGAAAGACAGTTTGTTTCATCGCTCGACCAAAAGGGAATTTATTTGTTGATGAAGCAAATCCATCCTCTTCATTCCATAAAAGTCCACCATCTGCCACGAATATCGTTGGTTATGGAGAATTCCTGTACAGGATTGCCCCGACGTCAAGCTTTAATTACGCTGAATCGATTGTGAGTTTCAGTCCTTGAAGCTAGTGAGAGTGAAGCAGAGAATTGATTCAGCTGGATGATCTACACTGAATAGACTTGTCACCACAAACTAAGATTCGTTTCATGTATCTACCAGTGTCACTTTAAATTAGTAGTCCTCTATGTACAATGGCAGAAAGTTTATTCTCCACACCTCTGAATCTCATATGATGTTCTGTAATTCTATAACAATGAGGAGTACCAACATTTGGTTCACATCTGCACTCCAGCACCCGCAAATCGGAAGACACTGCCTGATCAGCAGAAATGTTGATTGACTTCGTTGATTCAAATCTCATTGCATATAAGTCCTCATACATATCTATCCAGACTATGAAGGAACTGAATATATGAAACTGACTGCTGCAATACTGTAGGCCCACACGAACTTCGACTATTATATTGAGATGAAATTCACGTTTAAGTGGCATCAAATATAAAGCAATTAGACCAAATTGATGCACACTTACGAAAACAGACTAAAGATTCACTATGATTTGAAGTCAACATATTAAACCTATAGTCCTGTAATACCGAAGATTCTTAGAGCTTTAAATTTATCAGAATCCATCAAATCAAAATTTGGAAGAAAATGCAAATACTCCTATTTCACTGTAACTTGATCATCTTCATAATCGTGTTAACAAACCCAAATTTCTTGAGGTTAAGAATTGGTTGACTTCTTCATACAATCAGTTGCTTGCACGATTAAATACGGTCTTAGACCTTTCTTATATATTCATAGATATTAGCTCATCTCAGGATTGTTAGCTTATGATTGGTCTATTGCTGTAAATTGATTATATATGTTTTGATATTTTTTATTCTTAAAATATTGTAATAATTGTTCTAAAAATTCCTTTCAATGTTTGATGATTATAATTAATATATTTAGGAAATGACTCAAAATTTTGATACGTATTTTTAAAAAATAAATTCAGTGATGGTATAAATTAATTCATAAATTTTAATAAAATAATTTATAATAATTTTGAATCATAATAAAAATAAATAAAAATTTGATAATTTTATAAAATATTATTATTTCTATATGAATAATTATCAATGTATAAAAAAATTAAACTTATTGATCATGTTTAATAACAGCATTCAATGTTTTTATTTGCATGGAATTATTTCACCAAATTAATAAAAATGCTAAAGTATATTTTATTTGTATTATTAAAATTTTTTATTTATTTATGATGGGAATTACTCTCTACCCTATATTTTGATAAATTTTGATGTATAATTTTTTTAATTTACATAAAATTTTAATCAAATATTAAGAATTTTAGCTCCAACAATAGTATTTTAAATATGATAATAAATGCCACATGTGACAAAAATTAATGTTTTATGTACAAAAAATATTTTTTTATATGTGTTATTTTGCTAAATTGAATCGTTTTTTTGTGAAAAAATTATTGAAAATTTTATTTTTTTCATAGAAAGAAATTTTTTATTGTTTGACCCAAATTTCTGTGCATGAAAATTTATCTCTTATACAAAAAAAAAGTTAAATTTCAAACTAATGAAATAAATCACGCCAAAAAGTTTTTTCATAAGTCAGTATATAAAACTCCATGTCAAACTCAATTTCAAATCAATAAGCATATTGATAATTTATATCATCTTCAAAATAATAAAAATCTTACACCAATATCACCAGTATTTAGGATCAATCCATATCATCTATGAAAGATTCAAATTTTTTGATATGCCAAATTTCATGTCACACATTTGAAAATTACTGGTTTTATGTTGTAATCATAGCATTCATTACCAAAACAATTCAAGATCAAGCATGATATAAAATGCAAAAAATGAAAATGAAAGAGAGATTGTGTGAAAAAGAGCAAAAGATTGATGAAAGACATCACTAAATAAGATCATATAAAACTATCAGATGTGGATTCCATATTACGTGCTTATTTGGTCATTTGCTATGAACATATAAGCACACATCCACCTCATACGATAGTACAACAGTTGTCAACATTAAGGCTTCTGGAATAGTCCATTTACATGCAATTTAGGCAAGTGAGTCATCTAGTTAATTCAAGACAAAATCTTTAGATTCTAGTGACATCCCTAGTTAGTCCAGTAGTTAATGCTACAACACATTCACCGTCAAGCGCTCAAGATCACAACTTGATGCAACTTAGACGTAAGTATGTAACCACTTGGTCGTATTCATACTGATTGCAAACGTGATCTTCTTCTTTACTTCCTCTTCTGATTTTTTGCCATCATCATACTCGACTTGTTAACATGTGCAATGTAAAGTTTGCACAGATACCAGAATTCTACCAAAACAGTGCCCAGATAATTCTTTTTATATGTGTTCGTTGAGCCGAGAGAAGGTTAGCAACCCCCTTGACAAGGACGGGAATTGGCTTCGGCCATTCACACACCATGAGGTTATTAAGTGCCACAATCTGATCTGCGAGGGGTTCATTTTGACAGTCTGCTAAGAGGTAGAGGTAGAGGTAGAGTTCCTCGGCTAAGGACCTGCTAGCCTTAGGAGATGAGGAGTAACGGACGGGAATACCAACGCAATCCCAAAGCATACAGCAACGAAGCAAGTGCATGAAATTGTCAACTTTTTTCTCGGGAAGACAATTCCAAGGGACCAGAAGCGCAAAAGGAGCCGAAGCTGGAACAGCTGGAAGCTCGAAATGATCCAACATGGCATGATGGAGAAGCGCTGTACATCGAACTCACGAAGGATGGAGGGACGGATGGAGGGAAGGAAGGACGAGACGGAAGTGGGGACCTCGGCGTCGGCGGCCGAGGGACGTGGAGTGGAGCTTCCTGTCGTGAGTGAGCTCGGGGCAATGGAAAGGAAAGGAAAGGAAAGCAAGAGCGTGAAGTGGCGTGACATGTGTTCGGGGCCGAGCGGATGGAAGGAATCGAGAGGCGCACGACAGAGACAGCTGGACAGCTCGCGGGCTCACATGGCTCCGGACGGAAGTAGCTCCGGCCATCAATGCTTCGCAACGAACGACGAACGAACGAGGCGACGAGGCCAGACGGAGCAAAGAAGCGCCGACGCGGCGGCAGCAGCAATTCGTGCGGGCGCGCATTTGGCCTTCCGCTGGTTGGCCCGAGCTCCGCTGGTGGGCGCCGAGAGGCCCGAGAGCGCGAGCGCTCATTTCGTCGCCCGTGCACCCTCCCACCGAGCCAGCACCTTAAATTGGATCGTCTCGTTCTGCTGCTCGTGGTGCGATTCGTTCTGCTCTGCGGTCTTGGTTTCGCGAAATTCCGCGTTTGCTGTCGCTTCTCACCTTCTTTCGCCTCGAATTCGCCTTCTTTTGCTGCTCGCCCGTCTTCTGCGCGTCGAGTGGTTTTGTCTCGTGGCTGGCTTTCTTATTTTACTCCCGTCCGATGGGGTGGGACGAGTGCTCGCGTCGGCCGCGCGTCGAATTTTCTGATTGTCGCATGCTCGCTCCCGGCTTCGGGCCTGGGCCTTGAAGACGAAGACGGAGGTCGACAGAAGGTACACGCGGTTTTTCACTCGACGAACTCTCTGCATTTTCGAGCGCAGCACGCTTCCTTTCCTCGGTTTTGCAGCGGCTCCTGCTTCAGTTTTCCGTTGTTCGTTGAACTTGCGTGTTCTTGACGACTGTTCTTCGGATGTGCGACGGCTCTTATGTGCGAATATTCTGAAGCTTGATCATTTTGATCCACACAGAGGATTCATGGGCTCTTGTGGAGCTGCGGAGAGTGCCTGCTCATCTGAGGGGGAGACTGGTTTAGAGCATGATCATGGGGACGACATGTTAACTGTTCCCCTTTTGAACGGAAATTCCAGGAATTTGGACGAACCTGCATCTGTTCTAAAGAGTCGTGACAATCCTCCGCTTGATCGCAGTATGGATGGCCTAAATTGGAATCAAGGTGGCGGTACCAGGTCTAGAGCACAAGGTTGCACAGACGACCCCAGCAGGGATACTGATGGACAAGGCTCCAAAATTCGCACGAATTTGAAAGATTGCGAAGATGAAAAACTGAGAGCCTTAGAACGTTGCATTGCAGCTGCCACCAAAGGATTTGTTATCGGAGCAGGCTTACGTGGTGGTCTTGGTCTTTTTGCAATCCTCTCCCGTTTGAGGAGAAAGAAGACGCGGTCAAGGTAATATCACGAATCAAATATTCGAAGATCTAGAAATTTGGGCTCTGTGACCATCACTGAACCAACTGAGCACTATGAGTGGTCGCAATTTTGAATCAGTACTTCCCATATTACAACTACCGGAAAAGTATCAAAATCGAGGTTCCATTTACGTATATTTTATTAAGATAGTCGTGAAGTTCAACGAGGAATTGAATTTAGTAGCTGAACCACGTATTCTTGTGAACCTGAATAATTTGTAGGAGGGCATGAAGTTTAACGGATAACAGGTGAAAAAGACGGGGTAAGCTCAGCATGAATAACATATTTCTCGTGGGAATGAATCACTCGATAGTCTGACAGATCGGTTTGTTCTCCGCAGTATTCTACACAAGTCCAACGCTGACGCAGTTGTGCTGGCTTTGAAAGAGACTCTCCGCTATGGTCTGTTCCTAGGCACGTTTGCCGGTGGTTTCTGCTCCGTCGACGAGGCTATTGCAACCCTTGGTGGTCGTGAACGGTGGGTTCTTATGACTTTATATTACCAATCAGGAGGATCGGTTTGAACAGAAATTATTTTCTGTTTCTTCCTGGTTAATAGAAGGAGCAAATAGAAAGCGTGTAGCTGGAGCTTGTATTACATCATGTTTTTGGGGATAGGGATGTCAAGCAGAAAATGTCAAGATACTTCTTTTTCCGCTTATCACTTAGATGAGATTGTTGCGGGAGGACTTCAATCTTCATTGTGATAGGCAGAATGCGCTTCACCTTGCTAAAAATTGTGATGGTTATTACGATGAAGCACATTGACATCAAGTACTATTTTATCAAGCAAGTTGTGTCTGAAAACTCTTAAGCTACTCAAGATTGATGGAGAGGTTAACCAGGCCGATGGTTTTACCAAAATGATTCCTTTTGATAAGTTCTCAAGACACGTGCAACTTTGCAAATTTTGCATTGGTGAGTTAGATTACATGATAGTTTGTATGTATGTAGTTTCTTTCCGACATGTCAGTTACAGCTTAATTCCAGTTAACCCTCATTCATACGAAGGAAACTATGATTTAGTTTTAACTTTTAGAATTTCTCGCTGAAACTATATGGATAGTAGAAATTGCCTTCCCCAAGACTTGGATTAAGAGGTAATTTGTGAGGTTAAAAGTGTGTTGTTGACCGTAGTTAGTCTAATCAAAGATAAGTTTGACCTCTAGTTAGTGTTTGAGTTTGTTCGAGCTAATTAGGGTTAGTTTGTTCAATTTAGGGTTCACTTTGAGCTCGTGATTCAAATACGTAGCTCTAGGATGACTACATTTTAGTTCAGTCTCACATGTACATATGATGGAGAGAGACGATAGAGAACTTGGCTATGAATGACTGATGTAATATTTTTGCTTTAATGAAGTTTTTATCTAACGTAAGCTCATGTGGAGGTGTAACCACGGTCATTGATGTGTGATTCTCCTTGCACCGGATCTACATTATGATAGAGAAGATACATATATTGTGGAACATCTAGATTTTATACTAGAAATACTGGAATAATAACTCCAATAACTATTAGAAAGATATATATAATGTGTACAAATAAATCGTATGCAATACTTTCTAAATATTTGTAATATAATTTAAATACTTAAAGATGTCAATAATAAAAAAATTTAAATTTCAGAAATTTTCTATATAATTCATTTATCACAATATTGTTGAATTTAAATTCATTTTGAACTTAATCTCAGAAAGCAATATTCCGACACAACAGTATTCTAAATCAAAATAATGGCAAAAGTAAACAGCAACCTTCGCTTTGGTGTTGTCATCGTTCAACTAACCAAGGCGTCATTCAGATTCTGCTACCAGAAGATAGCTGGGCGTTGTCTGAGTATGTGTGATTTGAGTACAATGGATGGTTACATGCTTCGTCTGCATCAGGTAATAGTTAGAGGCAGCCTGAGCAAGTCTGTGTGGGAGTGGCTGGAGCCGACGCTAAGACATAATCACAAACACAAAGAGGTTCCCTTTGTTCAAGAAGCCACCTTGTAATAACCCACCAAAGGCTAAAACTGCAGTATGGTGGTAAAAAGATCGAACCCACAGGGACAGAGGAAACACACAGAGTAAAAAGTGTCACGTTTAACAGACTTTTGTAGAGTTTGAATTCTCAGGCGACTGTCACTCCCAGAAATACTGCAGTGCTCGACTCGGAGCCACTCGGAGGATGCTCGACTCGGAGGATGCTCGGAGGATGCACCGTGCAGCGTAGTCACTCAACACACACACACACACCTGAAACTGGTAAAAGCACAACTCGGAGGTCGGTCAGGACCTCCGCTTCGGATTTCAGGGGGAAAGTAGCTCAAAGGTTCACTCAGAGGCTCTGCAGGTAGTGACTCCCACTCCGGCTTTTACTGCCCTTCCGCCAGGAACTAGCATAGGGAACCCGGACTGGACTTCCCACTTCGGAACGAAGTCCCTCATACGCCGTGGACGTCACCCTTGACTCACACCAAACGCAGAGAGCAAAGGCCCGACTGAGAACTCAACTGAGACACAATCCAGTAACACACACACACAACCTGAATTGCAAACCAAGGCTTACACGAAGTAACAAAACTTCACTTTGGCATTGAGGGGAAACTTCCCGTAGGAGTACAATCAGGATATATCACTCGAAGGAGTAAGGGGGAACTGTTCAAGTCTCTAACTCGCAGCCGGCTCTTAGCATCAGAAATCACCCGCAGGTGCAGATCCGCACTACTCAAGTCTCTAACCGGGTACTAGCTCTGAACATTCAGCCAAAGGCCTTCAGCTACAACATACGGTAACTTCGCTATGCTGCAACTTCTCTACGTGGTGCCAGGACCAAATGCACAAACACGTCAAGAAAGTGAGTTCCTGATCTGCACTTCCGAAACTGGAAGAGTCCCAAGGCAAAACGCCTTGATCTACTTTATACCCTCTAAGGTCCTAACTAACACTACGCTATCCTATCTGCTACTCGCAACACCTGCACGAAACCAAACTACGCTACTGCACTCTGCAGATCCGGTGCTGCGCCTCCTGCGCGCCGGACTGCCTCGCTCTCTATCTCTACCTTGCCAATCTTCCGACCGGCTGCGCACCCCCAGTCGCCGAAGGGCTGCAGTCACTTCCGACTCCAAGTGCGCCATAGTGTCGCGCGCACCCGACAAGAAGGCTTCTAATTTCCTTGCTACTCGCCGCCGACTCCGACTGTCACCCTCCGTCAATGCCGCCGCCCGAAGCTCAAACTCCCTGAGTGTGATCTTCTCTTGAGCTGCCACCTCCCAATGGGCGTATCCTTTTAGACAGTGAGTCACCCGCGTCGCCAACTCTTCTCGCGTCCGGCAGCTGCCTTCCACCTCTGCTAGCTGCATTTCCGCATCTGCGCGCTGCGCCCTCAAATCCGCCGACTCGGATTGCAAGTTGCGCAACAACTCCTCATCCTCCTTGCGTGCACTTTGACTTTCTTCTAATGCGCGCTTCTGGCGCGCAAGCTCTTCTGTTAAGATGCGGTTTTGTCTCCGCTCTTCCTGCAATTCTGACTCGATCTTTGCCCGCATTAGCTCGGCATCCGCCTGGTCTTTCGTCGCCGCATCCTCCCTCTGTTGTTGCAGGGTTTGGTATAGCTTCTGCATGATCGCCAGGTGCTGTCGGAGGGCAGTGTTCCTATCCTGCAATGTTTGGCACCTAGAGGCCCAAGTGGCCACCTTGCTCCTCGTCCTGCGCTTGACAGTCTCCACGTACGACTACGGCTTTCCGGAACCCGAGTACTTGGATGTCTTGCGATCCAGATATCGCAGGAGTGGAACTATCTGCTCGCACAATACCCTTGTTGGCGTTTTCTGCACAGAGTCTGCTTCCTGCTCTTCCGAACTCGTCTCATCCTCCGTTTCGAGGATTTCAGTCGCCACCGAATCCCTTGGCGACTCCCTGGAACTGTGGCGCGCGGCAGCTTCCGCCGCGACTGCCGCTCCACTCCCTGCTAAAATATCCAAGGCAGTGGGGGATCCTACTGCTTGAGCCCCTGTTCCGGCTCGATCTTCGGTTTCCGAAGGGGTCGACGCCGCAGTGACTTTTGTCACCTTTGCACCGCCCGCTTCTGCTGCCTGCCCTTCCGGCGCGATCTGCGCGGAAGGTGTCTTCGCTGGAGGTGCGTCCGCCGAAGGCGCCCGCACAATGGTTGCCGGCCCTGTCCGTCTCGCATTCGGCGAATCTGGCCGACAATCTGTTGACCGACTCGTAGTCGGCCGACTAGCAGTTGTCCGACTGGCAGTCGGATCTACCCTGCGCGTCTTCACTCCACTTGGCCTGCTTGCTGGCGGCGTTTTCCCAGAAGTGCCTTCCGCCGAAGACGACCCTCTGAGGGTTGTTGGCTCGTCAGCCAAACTCCCTTCTGCTTCCGGCCTGCTGTCCGGTTCAACGCGCTGCTCAGTCGGCCTTCCTTCCGTTTGCCGACCTTCAGTCGCCCGACTCGCAGTCGGCCGACTGTCAGTCCGCCTGTCTTCTTTTGAAGGCATCGGTGCCTTCTGCGCAGAGGTATTCGCCGACTTCCCCAGAATCTGCGCGATTATCTCCTCCTGCGTGGGCAAGATACTCCGCCGGACTGGAGTACGCCCGGTCTCCTCAGTACTAGTTGGCACTTTGCGTGCCCTCTGTTTCGGCCGGCTGTGAGGCTCGTTGGTTGGCCGACTCCGAGTCGGCGCAGCTGGAGCTTCCGGCTGCCTGTCCTCAGGTCTCTCATCCCATTTCCGCTTTCGCGGAGCACGCTCACTTCGACGTTCTTCTGCTGCTCTTGCTGGAGGCAGAGCCGGAGTTGGACTGGCAGGTGCCTCGTCCGGATCCGTGTCTACTTCGGCCTCCCGCAAGTATCTACCTGGATAACTCTGGGTCAGCAGCGGAAACCGTGTCCGCTCTGAATTTGTCAAACATCCCATCGCCCGATAAAACACAATCAGGTAAGGCGAAAGATGATTGAGGGTTCCTCCTCTCTCTTCTTGCGCATGTTGGCGCGTCACCTTCCACAGGAGCCGTGCCCAATGAACTGGAGCTCTTGACAACACTAGCTCCACAAATCCTACTTGCCAACCATGCATGTAAGCGGTCTTGGTCGGCTGCAATATCTGTAGTAATGCAGTCGCGACATTTCTCCGCAATCGATCTTTGTAATCCCGTGTCCGAAAACCGTTCTTGGGATGCCTGGCAACTTTGAAAAGATCATTGTAGGAGATTTCTTCCTCCTTTGACACCTTCACGCTATCGGCCTCGAAGAGGAGAAACCCTTCCTCGCCGGCACACCTGCCCAACACCTGCGCCCAGTCACAAATGTCCCACCTCTCTGGATGTGGGCGGAATCCGCGTGAGGGCTTGTGTCTCTCCTGCAGATACTCGCGCACCATCTCCGGACATGTCCAGTTCCATCCCCACAGGAGGAAATCGAGCTTCAGCCCTGTTAGCACATCTTGGAATGCGCGCAGACCGATCTACGGCACTCTAAGTGGAGACACTCGCAGCTGGGGGACCTTCGACATTGCGTTTCCTGCACACACAGACGTTCTCCCTTCCGCTCGCTCTCTCACAATCGCTGTTGCGCATCGGCCGCTCAAACACTGACTGCAATCGCTCTCTCTTCTCTTGCGCGCTCAAGTTCGCTACTCGCAAATTCTCTGCAAGGTCTGTCAAGATCCTTGCGCAACTCGTCTCCGCACTCTCTCCTGTCACTGCAGGTCTCTCCGCCCTTGCGCGTAATCTTGGAAGCTGGAAATCTCAAAA